TGATCGTGTTAGGCCCAAAACTGATATTTAAATAATAATAAACCATACTTGTAACTTATCGTATGTAGTCTGATAAATAATTTATGTTATTACATTTGTTAAATATTGTATCATCATTGTCAAGTAACACAGGCACGATATTGAATTCCTAGTGAATCAAATCCCAAAAAGACCTTGTGTTATGTGTTATCGTGGTCATACAGATGAAACTACCAAGTCCTAGAACCAAAACTTATTCATGTAAACCAGACTTTTAAAATAATTTGTTTGTCTGCACTGTCGATAATATCGTAAGCGGAAGTACGGTGCGCTTGGTGTAACGGGGGAAGTGGAGGTTTAGTGTTCCTTGGGGTATATGAACCTTGGGACTTGTAAGTACACGTTAAAAAATAAGGCGTACAGCTTTAGAGGTAGTGGCCGTGAAGTAGCGGTGTCAAAAAAAAAGAAGGGGGATTGCTCTTCATGCAAGAATATTTTAATTTAAAGTCACTCTTCCGTGGGGAAAATAAAATCTCATAAGATTTTATTTGAAAATATACTATTACCACATTATTACATGTACTTTAAGTTTCGTGAGCATGCGCTGTGTGATGTTTTGAGGTATCTTGGTGACGAAAGTTGCTATAGTTTGTTTTAGGCAGTAATAGAATTAGGCCTAGTTTTCGATCATATAAGGCTTCGATAACGTCTTTTGGTTCTAAATGTTAGTCACGTGGAATCAGTAGCTGGACTCTTTCCTCTCGTTCTCTCGCTTTCAGAAGTTCTGCTTATAGTACTTCTCTGGATTAATTGTATGTGGATTCAACTAATTAGTCAGCCAGTTAGACCCTTCTGCTCTAAACCCACAACTAACGAGTTAATCAGTAGCTGGACTCTTTCCTCTCGTTCTCTCACTTTCAGAAGTTCTGCTTATAGTACTTCTCTGGATTAATTGTATCTGGCTTCAACTAATTAGTCAGCCAGTTAGACCCTTCTGCTCTAAACCCACAACTAACGAGTTAGTCAGTAGCTGGACTCTTTCCTCTCGTTCTCTCGCTTTCAGAAGTTCTGCTTATAGTACTTCTCTGGATTAATTGTATGTGGATTCAACTAATTAGTCAGCCAGTTAGACACTTCTGCTCTAAACCCACAACTAACGAGTTAATCAGTAGCTGGAATCTTTCCTCGCGTTCTCTCACTTTCAGAAGTTCTGCTTATAGTACTTCTCAGTTTAATCTACGAATCGATCCTCAGCCTGTACAAGAGTTGCTCGTACAAGTTCTATATAAGTACATATATATACGCCTTTATTTCTCCAAGCTACGCAAAAGTCGCACGCGCATATACAACAAGAGTGTCAGGAGAGTGGGCAGCGATCGGGTGGAGAACCCGTGTAGCCCACGAAGACAGGTATCAAATAACTTGGGCTTGAGTAAAGGGATTCCAAGGTTAAATTGTCATACTATAGCACCTAACATCCGGGTGAGAATAACCTTCAGAACTGGACACTGAACTGGCAGTGTTACAAACATGTATTCTTAGTGTAGTAAATGAGCAAGAACTCGTTAGTTGTGGGTTTAGAGCAGAAGGGTCTAACTGGCTGACTAATTAGTTGAATCCACATACAATTAATCCAGAGGAGTTAAAGTAATCTTCAAGAATGAAGAAGAAAAGAGGGAAACAAGGCGGAAATCCTTCAGAAAGCAGACACAGAGAAACTAGATATCGGTTTCTACGGGTAAATCAATTCGTACATTTGTTTTTAAATTGAAGAAACGTATACATTACGTTTACACAGTGTTTCTGACGTAGTAGTGAACGTAACGTATTTGATTGAATGTAGTAGTAAAAGTGGCTTTTAGTTTAAGGCACTATTGAAAGTGTCTTACTTCTTAGCTGATGTGAAAGTGTCATCCATTAGTTTAAGTGACACAACGTTTAGTTTAACGTAACAGTAAAAGTGAAATGACTTTTATTTTAGCGTAGCATTAAAAGAAGCTACAAAAGAGACTTGTAATATATAAAATTAAATTTTCCGTAATTGTACTGATGTTCATATAAACACTTTATTTTGTAGATGGACTTTAGCTGACCTTTGTACTTTGTAACACTGAACACTTAGTATCGATATAAGATCAATAGTCTTACATGAGTAACACAAGTTTCAAGTGTTACCAAAACTACGTGATACAGCATTCATACACGTGAATATTCAAAAGAAGAGCATCTTTAACTCCATCCTTTCTTTTATACAGTTTCTTTACCTCAAAATCAACTTTTTAGAGTAAATTCAAAGTTAAGATTTTAACAGTCGTGAATATTATGATGTATAAAACTTTTGACAAGAATAAAGAAGATGCAGGGATGGCAATGCCAAATAGTACAGAGACAAAGTAGGGGTGAATACACAAAAACTCCCTCAAGAAGTACCTAAATCTTTCCAAGAAAAACTGTTATCTACAACTAAATGTTGAATTCCTTTCATTTGAATGAATTTAGGGTTGAATGATGTTATAAAATCTTACAGTTGTTAATTCATATAAACTTATAACACTGACTCAGTGGCTTCTTATGTAGGGGCCCCGCCAGTGGCACAGCGGTATGTCTGCGGACTTACAACGCTAGAAACCGGGTTTCGATACCCGTGGTGGGCAGAGCACAGATAGCCCTTGTGTAGCTTTGTGCATAATTAAAAACAATCTTATGTAGGGATGTTTATGTGGTTTTGTGTATTTATCATTAGCTTGTTTCTGTACTTTTGGGATTTGCCATCTCGACATCATCCTTAATGTTTTTCAAACTTTTGTATTACTTGTTTCCTCTCTGTTTTTTATTTAATGAATGGCAGTCGCTGTGAGGGTAGCAGTTTTAGCCTGACGTCTTGATGGACATCATGTGTTGAAGTTAGTGAAACACTATACTGATTCTGCACTCCCAAAGTTAAAATGTAACATTTTGGTGTGTAAATCATCTCAACAACTTCAAACATTGGTGAACTAGCCGTTCTGACGTCAGAATCTGAATAATCAGCAGAACATTTGGCTGTTACTCTACTCACCAGTTCTCTACTTCAGCGATGTTTATATTGGTTCTGACGTCAGAACGGCTAGTTCACCAATATAAACATCACTAAAGTAGAGAACTGGTCACAATAATCAGTAGAACATTTGACTGTTACTCTACTCATTCTGACGTCAGAACGGCTAGTTCACCAATATAAACATCACTAAAGTAGAGAACTGGTCACAATAATCAGTAG